CCCCTGCCTTACATAACTGATGCCCATGGCAGCTATAATGTAAGGGAGCGTATTTACCCAGTAAAAAAGGAAATATTATGAATCAAAATAATTAAAAATACCAAGCACTTTCACTTTGTCGTGTTAGCTTACCGAACTTCATTTTAAATGAAGTAAAATATTAATGTATGTCCAAAACAACATTGTCTTTGTTTGTGGCAGGCAGGTGGGGAGAGGAAGCAGGGACTACCAAGGTTCAGGGCTTCCCACAGGCCAGATTAACTCTTCTTGGATTTTGGGGTTAGTAGATTTTGTGATCCCCCTAAGCACTGGGTGGGGCCAAAAATGAGGAGTTCAGTGTGTGGACTGGTGCTGTTAGGGAGTGGGACAGGAATGAGGGTGCAGGCGGGGTCTTGGTGGGATCCATGAAGTTGATAGGAGTGCAGGGTCTGGGAATGAGGGTGCACTTATCTGCCCCACACCCCTTGCCACTCCCAGGCACCTACTCCCACTGCTCCTATTACCCATGATTCTGACCAATGGGAGCAACAGGGAAAGCCTCTAGGTGAGTGGTTTCCTTGCTGCCATTCCCCCAGCTGGGAGGAGGGGAAGCAGCAGCGTGTGGAGTTGCTTCCTCTCCCACAAGCTGGATCTGACCCATGAGTCCTGGGCCTGCCCTCTGCCCCCGTGGTGGAAAGCTGGTGCTGGTGCTCCTGCTCCAACCTCATGGAGGCTGCTAGCTGCAGGAGAGGGGGGATCAAGTAGGTTGAAAACCACTGCCTTACATTTACAGTACTATCTCACTGTTTTCTTGTGCTTACTTCTCTTTTGTTTCTTGATTTACCCCAAAGTGCTCACAGTCTGTCTTTGTACAGTGCCTCATATTATGGATTCCTGGTCCATACTTATAGTAATACAAATAATTACAGTAATATAGTAAGCATTGTATAATGTGTCATGAGTGAGTGTGCGATGGATAATATCAGAAATGTCCAGATGAAGGTAATTTTCTTTTTCTTGTGGCTGTAATATACTAGATTACATCCAGAGTAGTGTTCCCTCTAAGTTGTAGGTAGGGCAACACAGCTTCACAAGTGATTAATTAGCCCCTCCCAGTCAAGCAGCTTTATGCATGGAGCCCTGAACCTCTGACTGGGTGAGGCTGATTAATCACCTGTGAAGCTGTGCTGCCAAGCAGCTTACAGGGAACAATGATCCAGAGTTAATCAAGCTAATTAAGATTCAGTATCAAACCATTTGGATGGCTTATGAAATTGGTTTCTAATAATAATGTTTCAATTGAATTCAATTGGTATGCATCTAGCAGAGTGCAGTGTAGTAAGTGTGACGGGGTGTTGTCATAGAAGACCTCTTGGAGTTGCTTCCCAGTATGCTGATAAAGCCACTGACATTCACCTTCCTGCTCTTTGGGGCTCCTCATCAGCCTGTCTTGCTGGGCCAATCTCCTGGTCTCCCCCAGTCAAGACACAGAGCTGTGATAACTGCCCCTTACACCATCTCTTCCCCCAAAGAGCAATGCAAACACTGGATCACTTCAATTCTGAGAGGTGTCCAAGCATTGGAAACACCCTTGATGGCTTTCTTTTCCACATTTAAAACCATAAACCATTCCATGCCCCATATTTCTTACTTTACATACGAGAATGATACATACACCAGAATAAGGTATGCAGATCCAGCAGACTGTGACATTAAAATGTATAGGTTACATGAGGTATTTTGTCCAAAGCATCTTCGAATTATGCATATTTGTATACATAAGGCAATTTCATACAGCATAGGGCAGGAAGAACAGTCACAGTAAATAGTAGCTGTAGGTATATGAATGACAGTAGTGACAAAATAGCATTTGATAAGCTGCTGTACATTATGGAAGTATGATGAATGGGAGAGGTATTACCCTTTTTTGGACATCCTAGCCATTCAGTTTAAGTAAATTGTCTGTACGGGTTAATCTTAGAGAGGAAAGATCCTTGAGAGTCTCCAGGAAGTGTTGGCAGGGAGCCAAGAGAGCCAATTGAAAACAGAATGTGAGTCTTTGAATTGAAGCAGGACTCTCCTGCTGCAGTTTTTGTGTGAGCAGAGGGTTGCTGGGAGAGATGGATTGAGCCAGGAACAAGGCATGGCATTTCCAGCAATATCCATGCCTAGCGAAGGCCCAAACCTTAGAACAGCAGATATGTAAGTAGAACAGGGAATGTTTAGCCAGACGTGATCAGGTTATTTTCTTTATTTTGGGGCTAGTTGAACTCCTCTGTGCTGAGCTCATCTACCCCTTCTTATACTGCAGCTTTTAAACTGAACCCCAGGGAAGCAATTCTCTGTTTTTAACCTGCCTTATTTCACTAACATCTAGCAACCAAATACACTTTACCAAGAATGTCTTCTTTATTTTGTTAATAAAAAAGACATAATCTTTAAAGACTGTCCTAGAAGACATGAGATTCTGTGTGCACTTACCTGACACTGAAAGATCATCTATTAAAAAAATATAGTTTTTCAAGCCCTCCCCAGAGGAAAGGTTAAAAAGCGTACGTGCATCACAAGTGCGTCTTCCTGGGTTCTCAAACGGGTTTTTGCATTTGGCTGGGGGCAGTGTACCACCCAAAGTCAGGGAGTCTGTGACATTGGAGAGTTTAAACACACGCCTTTAGTGGCAGGGTATTTTAAAGTCTCTTGCAGGCCCCCACCTTCTGCACTTGAAGTGCCAGTGGGGGGAACAGCTTTGACAGGAAGCTTCAGTGAACAATTAGACAGCTCTTTCAGACCACCTGTAAACCAGTTTGCATAACCTATTTCAAACCAATTGAAACAATATTTAATAATAAACAAGGTTAAAACAAAGACAATTATTGAAAACAGTTGTCTCCTTCAAGTTCTACTCTGGGACATGAGTTAACGAAAAAGTAAATGTTTTAGATCTAATCTGTATTATCTAATTGCTGGTAGCCATTCCTGGAAAAGTAATTTCTTACCTGCAGCAGACAGACTAGGGGAAATTACTAGAAAAAAATCCCAGAACTATCTTACGAGGCAGACAAAGTTGTAAGAGAGGTTTTACTAATCACTTCTTAGATTTTGCTGAGTTCCTCAGTTAAGCATCATGCATGCCTATGATACTGAATAAGTATCACCTCTGCAGCTTACTCTGCATCTCAGTCTGAGTAGAAATTCTAAACTGATTCTTTTATAAAATGGTCTGACTGTTGATACTACATGGTGCTGCATTACTGCTAAACTATCTGAGAGAGACTTTTCACAATGATGTTGTTAAGGAGGTGGAAGTATGATATTTTGTTCTCATGCTAATTCAATCCTTGCACAACACATCACAACCATCTGGCTGGTAGCATTTTTTTCAAATGCTCACATTTGGGACACCTGTGAAATACCCCACATCTGTGCATTTAGATAAATATTGCAGGTTGGATCTTCTGGTCCAACACCCTTGGGACCTGACCAGTCCTGTACAAAGGGATTTACTGGACCAGGAGAGGCCCCCTGTCATTGACTCCCAGCCCCCTGCACCTCTCTACTGCTGGCTGCTTCCAGCCTATGCCTAGCCCCACTGCTCCCAGGCTGAGGCTCCAGACCTGGATCTACTGCTGCTGGGCTCCAACCCCAGCTCCTCGTGCTGCCAGCTCAGCTAGGGCTCCCCAGACCTGGAGTTCCCCACTGCGCCACTGGCTGTCTCCAGAGCCAAAACTCCCCACTACATCAGTAGACCTGATGCTCCTTGGTGGTTGGGGCCAGAGCTCCCTGCTGTGCTGCTAGCTGCCTCCAGGGCCAGAGCTCTCTGCTAGCCAGGGCAGTAGTTCCTCGCTATGCAACCAGACACTCCCCTCACACACCTGCTATGCGCCCCCCTGCTGCGCTCCTGGCATTGCCGCTAGACTTCCCTATTCCTGGGTTCTGTGGTCCAGCAACATCCATGGTTTACATCCAGAGAGTTCCAGTTTAGGGAGGTACAACTTGTACTGTTTTGCATTGGAGAGTATAAGCAGTAATATTTAAATATTGCCTTTCTGCACGTGAAAAAATATTAAAATTGTTTTGGGTGAATTGCCTGTAGCAGTGGCTTCATGATATCTGTGAAAAAAATGGATGGAAACACAAACACTCACCAATTGTGTGGCGGGAATTATTGGACCGTGGAGGGAAGGGCCTGCTTCTGGGAGGATTTAACGATTTTATGGAGCATGCCCAGGTAAAAAGACTTTCAGTATTACTGATCCACATTTTGAATTCTTTTCTTATTCCTGTCTCCTTTTTTTAGATATTACATAACATTTTGGGGCTACTCTCTGATTGCTGAATGTCCTTTCTTCATTGTTAGCATTACTATGGCATCACCTCGGACATGCTGAGTGAGCAGATGCTGAGAATTGGGGCGGAGAATTTGAATACTCACATAGAAATTGAGAAAGAGGAGGAATATCTGAAAAGTCTTATCAACCCCTTGCAGGTTTGGATAAGTAGGTGAGAAAGCAAAAGCATTGCAATATTTCATTCAGCTTTAGAATTATGCATTTCTTCTCATATAATACAATCTTCCTGCCGCTGATTAAATGAATATGGGGCTTGCACATATCCATTTTAACACTGTTTACATTTATTTAGGTAAATACAAGTAATTTATCTTTTTTGTAAATTATTTTTTCTTTTCAAATCTTAACACATTATAACACCAACTTCTGATGTTCATTTTAATTAAAACTTACTCTTTTTATAAAACATTGTTCACAGCTTAGCAATTTACTAAAAATACTATAAAGTACTAAACTGTTCCAACATTTGCTCATTTGTTTACTTAGAATAGGTTGTAATTCAATAGATATTCCAGAATGTATTTTTTGTTTGCAGATATCAAAACAAAAAGCAAATAAAAAAACCCCACAACCTAAAAACCCAATCCCTCACCCACTCTTCCTCCAAAGACCCCTCAAAAAACCTTGTAAGGTGATATGAATTTACAAGGATACTGTTGGGCCAAATTTAACCCCTAAATGAACTTTGGGAAAGGAATATTTTTACATTATCAGAACCCAATAGAAATATTTTGGTGACAAGTTTTAAAGTAATTGAATTTTTACATAAATAAATAGTCTAGCTCAGGGGTCGGCAACTTTTTCAAACCAAAGAACCAAACTACATCAAAATTCAGAACAAATAGTCAACAGAGCAGTATAAGACTGAAAACATACAACTTAATATTATTGATAATTGAAATAATGATTAATAATAGCATATATGAAACATTGTACTCACAGACTTTATTTAATGGGACTTCAGCTACTGCTGGGGGTGCAGTTTGTGGATGTGGGGGTGCAGGAGTTAGGGTGAGGGTATATGAGGGGCTCAGGGCAGGGAGATGGGGTACAGGAGGCAGGTCAGGGTGCTGGGGGTGGGAAATAGAGTATGTGCGGGGAGGCGTGTCCTGGAGCAGGATTACCTTACCTGGTTGGGGCTGGGCTGCTGCACCTGGGCACTAGTGGCTAGACAAGGGGCTGAGCCAGGATCACCGCTGCCGGATCATGGCCTCCCCTCCTACCCATGCTGCAGCAGGAGGGAGGCCACCACCAGCCCTTTCTGTGGCTGGATGGGGGCTGGACCACAGGATCAGGACTCTGGGGGCCAGATGGGGGACAGGTTTAATTTTAAATAAAATAAAATATTATGTTCAACACAAAAGGTTCTAGTATTGTCTTTATTTGTAGCAGGAGTGGGGAATATTTTTGGGTCAGGATCCACTGACCCAAGAAAAATCAGTTGGGGACCACACAAGTGCGAAGCAAAAAAACCAAAAACCTCACCCCTCCAGAAACCCCCAGCTCTCATTGATGTGTCCCCCAACTGAAACACCTCACTTCCCTGGTGCTCCATGGGGAATGGGGACAGGGAAGACTGAGGTTCAAGGCCTCAGTCTCTTAACTCTTAACCGTTAACTCTTCTGGGGTTCCAGGGTTAGTGGATTTTGTGGGCTTCCCTAGGCTCTGGGATGGGGCCAAAAATGAGGGGTTCGGAGTGCAGGACAGGGCTGCCAGTGAGTGGGATAGAGATGGGGGTGAAAGATCTGGGTGGGAGGTGGGTGCAGGACGGGTTGGGGGGCAAGGTCTGGATGGGAAGTAAGGAGGGGGTCAGTGGGAGGATGCAGGAGCAGGTTGGGAGTAGGGTAAGAAAGGGGGCAGGAGCAGGCTGGTGGTAGGGTGTGTGACAAGTGGGAGGATGCAGGAGCAGGTTGGGAGTAGGGTGTGGGACCAGGGGGTAAGGTGCAGAAGGAGGCTGGGGTTAGAGTGTCTGGCCAGGGGGGAGATGCAAGAGCAAGGGAGAGTGCAGGAACAGGGTGGCAGTGCGGGGTCTCGGTGTAGGGGTTGTGTGTGGGGGTGGGGAGATGTCGGCAAGGTAGTGAGGGGATAGGAGTGTAGGGTCTCGGTGGAGGGGGTATTAGTGAGAGGGTTGGGGTTCAGAGACTCGGCTTAGGGTGTATGAATGAATGGGTTGGGGATGTGGGGGGTCTACTTGCTTTCCGGCCAATGAGAGCAGCGAGGAAAACTGCCAGGAAGCTCATCCGTATACTGCTGTTCTCCCAGGATGGGGAAGGGAAATGGCAGCATGCAGAGCTGCTTCTGGCTCCACTTCTTCCCCGCAAGCCGAATCCAGTGGAGAGCCTCAGGGCTTTCTGCACCTCCCCCCAGGAAGCCAGTGCTGGCATTCCAATTTTGCGGGCTGGGAGGGAGGCCTGGGAGGCGGGAGCACCAGCGGAGGCTCCGTGCTGTGGGGGGAAGGAAGGCGAGGAGCTTCAAAAGAGCTATATTTGGCTGCCTACTGTGCCATATTTGGCTTAGGAGCCAACGGTTGCCAACCCCTGGTGTAGCTTTATGCTAATGCTGAAATAGTGAAAATGAAATTGACCAGAAACCATATAGGAACTGATTATTTCCATTGTACACCAGGGATTGGCAATAATTTGATAGAGGGCCACTCCAAGAAACTGGAAAATGGTCAAGGGACACACTCTTACATGATATTAATGGAGGAAGTGTGGAGTCTGGGATGGAGTCTGGGTGCAAAAGGAAACGTGATAAGGGATTGGGGTGCAGGAGAGAATGTGGGTCTGGGAGGGAACTTGGTTGAAAGAAGCAGTTGTGATCTGAGGCAAGGGTCTAGGGTGCAGACTGTGACCTTGGGCAGGGGACTGGGATGCTGGAGGGGGTGCAGGACTTTGGGTTGTATCTTTGGGCAGGGAACTGGGGTACAGGAAGGGGGCAGAGGATTTGGGTTGTGACCTAGAACAGGAGGGAGTTATGACCTGGGGCAGGAGATTAGGGTTCAGGATTTGGGAGGAGATATGGGTGCAGGAGAGGGGGAAAGGGTTTGGGTATTGTGGTGTTCCACCCCTTCACTGGCTGAAGAGGCCATGTGATTTTTTAATAGCTGTGAGCCTAAGGGAAGGGGGGGAGGGTGCATCACAAGCTGCCTGTTGACAACAGGCAGATGGGATTGTGTTGGAGGCAGGAGCAGTGCATTAATCCTCTCCCTCCTCCCCTGGGTTCACAGCTGTTCACACAGAGCCCCACCATAGCCGCTTTTCTCAGCAGTGTGTGGTGGGCAGACTGGGAGCCTGCCTGAGCATCCCCACTGTATCCACGGTCTGGATTCAGTGGCTCGGTGGGCCGAATCCAGCCCGTGGGCCGTGTTTTGCCCCAGCCTGCCGTACATAAATAATGGAAATGCAAAAAGAAAACAAGCAGCATACAAGAGTAAGTAGACAAAAGTGCAAGAATTTATTAATTTGGTGGACTTTTAAAATGTGGTATTTAACCTTCCAGCATAACTTTAGTGAAGGGAAGCCTGCTTTGTATTTATTTTTAACATGTTGATATAAAAGCTAGACTGAAATGATGTAAGGCAGTGTTTCCCAATTTTATTTGGCCACAGAACCCTTTTAAACTTGAAAGAATTTTGTGGAACCCCTAATAACAGTCTAATATATGGAGCTGAAAAACTCCTCCACAAATAAGTAAGGATAATAAAAAACAAATGCTAAACAAGTTCATGAGATCAACATTTAGTTTAATTGCCCATATTTAAAAACAGAAATCACATCATATTAATTATTAATTTTTTAAATCATAAAATGTTATTGTAAAGGAATTTTCTCACGGAACCCTTACTTTCACTTCACGGAACCCCGGGGTTTCGCGGAACGCCATTTGGGAAACATTGATCTGAGGTAATGGATCATGTAAATAGTTGTGAACTACATGACTAAGTTCTGTCATCCATTTTTATAATGCATTTTATAGAACAAACAGCAGCATTTACTAGTTAAAAAATGTTCTGTATCTAAAATTTCTCATTAGTGCGTCAGCTCCTGCCTGCTACAACCTGATTCCATTATTGGCTAGTGGAGAAGTGTTTGGGATGGCCACAGAGATCAGCATCCATCTGCTGGACAGTAACCACTACAAGGAAATTCTGCAGGGTATTGTAATGGAGGCTCAGGACTTAGCATTCCCCCTCCTTCGCAGTGTCTCAGTGCACACTGAATTAGATGATGCCTTTCTTCAGGCTGATGTTGTCATTTTGCTTGATGATATCCTCTTACAACATGAGATCCCGTCACTTGAGGACTGTATCAGACAGGTCACTGAACAATGTAAAGTGTATGGTTCCCTGATGGACAAGAATGCCAACAGCACAGTCAAAGTTATTGTGTCAGGAAAAACTTTTGTGAACCTTAGGGCATTAATGATTATGACATTTGCCCTGTCCATTGACCCCCAGAATATTATCGCCATGGCAATGTTCTTGGAAAGTGCAGCAAAAGCCATGCTGGCCAGGAAACTGAATATGCATTCAGCAGGTGGGTAATTTGTATTTGTTCTCTTCAATATCAGTTACAATCTGGGAACTTCAATGATCAGAATTATGCATCTGAGCATAGAGCATAGATTTTTAGAGCAGTTGGGATATATGTAAAAATAAGTACACCCATTACAGCTGCAAATATGGAATTCGGAATAAGACAAATTCAGATAGTTAAAAGTACAATGGGTGCACACACACATTTTGTATGGGTGCAATCAGTGCCTTTCTTTGAAGTTAATATGTTAAATATTGTACTGTTTCACGAGGCATACCGGAGTGGTCGACAAAGCCTTCCTTTGTTGACCGTGCCGTGTCTAGACTGCCGCACTGTGCTGGATCAGCTGATTGTCGGCACAGCACGGCGGCCATTTTTATTTTAATGAAGCGGGGATTATTTAAATCCCCGCTTCTTTGACTATGCCGAATAAACTATTTTACATGGCTCCGTCGACGGAGCCATGTAGTCTAGACAGAGGCTATATTTTAGAACGAGGTAAGTCTGCTAATTTAATAATCTTTTACAAGTCACTATTAAGAATTTATCTCTAAGGCTTTATTTTTTTCATGTTTTCAGTTTGTTTTTATTTGTTACCTGGTAACTTAAATTAGTACTATGATATACACTAATGCAATGGTTCTCAAACTCTTCTCCCAAACACTTGAAAATTGCTGATGGTTTTGGTGGGCCACTTAATGATCTTTCCAAATGTTGCTTGTACTGTTAGCTAACTATTGTAAAATGCTTTGAATAAAAGCATTATATATAGAATCATAGAATAGTAGAACTTGAAAGGACCTTGACAGGTCATCAAGTCCAGTCCCCTGCCCTCATGGCAGGACCAAAAAAATCTTAACGTTTTTTTTGTTCTACAAATAAAACCACACAACTCATATTTTAATATATAATGCGATCGATGTGCCTATTTTTGTGAGCAAGGTTTACGGAAATTAGGTATAATATTTGTCAGCTTTAGCCTTTGTACGCCACCCCAGCAGCCACCAAGCTGGGCTGGAACAAATGGGAAGGGGGGCTTTCTCTATCTCTCCCTCCTTTCCCACCTAGTCCTGTCAGCCAGGCTATGTCTATACTACAAGGTTTTTGCAAACAGCCGTTTTTGTGCAAAAACCCGTGGAGCGTCCACACTTCAAGCGCATTTTTGCTCAAGTAAATCTACAGTCAATTGACAGAACAGAGGGCTTTTTGCGGTATAGGTATACTGCCTTCTACGAGGCATAACTCCTTTTTGCACAAGCGTTCTTGTGCAAAAAGGTGTGTGTGGATGCTCAACGTGTTTCTTGCGCAAAAAGAGCCTCTCACAAAAAGCACAGGGTGCTCTGATGGCCATTCACAGAATGGCCATCAGAACTTTCTTGCGCAAGAGTGTCCATGTAGTGTGGACACTCTCTTGCGATGCACTTTTGAGGTGTGGACGCCTCAAAAGATCTGTTCCGCAAAAAGCTTCTTGGCAAAAACCTTGCACAAAGCCCTAGTGAGCTGGGGCTGAAAAGGAGGAGGCATCTTCCTGCACCAGCAGCCTCTAAGCAGCAGCTGGCAAGAAATGGTGTCTTTTCCCCTCCATCACAGGAGCCAGTGAGCTGAGGCTGGGTAAGTGGGGTATCTTTTCCCAGCAGCCATAGGCCTGGAGCTGTGGAAAGTCATCACTTTCTCTGGCAACTGCAGCCCTGCATATTCCAAATTCTCCCCCCTCCCTCTTCTCACCCCACTTCCCTCACCTACTTCCTATTTTCCCCCTTACCTTATGCCCCCTCCTACCTGCCCCCCATTCTCCCCAAGACCACCACTTCGCTTTATATGTATGTCTTCTCCCCGGTCCTGGCACTTAATTAGTGGAGCCACATCTACACAGCCCCACTAATTAGGTGGGCGGCCCTTCATTCATTCTCTCATGTGCCACCATCCAAGTGCACATTAGAGCAGGGGTTGGCAATCTATGGCTTGCAAGTCAAATATGGCTTACTAGGGATCCAGATGTGGCTCTTCTGGAGCCCCAACTCAAGTCCCCCAGCTCCCACTATAGCAGGGAGCCAGTGTTGGTGCTACAACACCTCCTCTCTGGCTTCCTGCAGGGTGGAGGGGAAGCCCTGAGCCTCCGCACTTGATCTGGCCTGCAGGGAACAAGTTCTATCATTTTTGGCTCCGTGCACTGCCCTTTTCCTTCCCCTGGCCTGTGGGGAACAAGTGGCCAAAAATGTCTCCATGCATGCTGCCATTTTCCTTCCCCCTGGACACACTTCCTGGAAGCTTTCTTCTGGCGAATGGGAGCAGTAGGAGGCCATATTACACGGTGCCTGCGATGCAGCGCAAAATCACGCAAGTGCTTCCCACCCCCTTCTGCTCAGACTCTACATCCCCACCCCGTCACTCAGCCCCCAACCAGACATCCTGCCCCCTGCCTGCTTGAGCTCCCTCCCTCCTGGTCAGACACCTGCCCTTGGCCACTCCTACCCCACCCGCAGCTCCTCCAGTTCAACCCTCTGCCCCTTGGCCAGACAGCCTGCCCCCCGCCCACTTCTGACTCTGGCCAGACAGCCTACCCTCATCCCACTCCTGCCACCTGTCCAGACAGCTTGCCCCAGCCCACTCCTGCCTCCTTCCCCCAGCCAGACACCCTGCTCCCAGCCTGCTTCTGCATTTAAACACAATATCTTTTTGTTCGCTAATCTTTATATATTCTCCTTTGTTACAGGAATCAAAGATGTGATTGTTTGGGGTAATATCAGTGGCAGGAGCTATATTGATCTGTCTAAAGCAAAAGTTTACAGATATGACAGTGCTATCTGGGGTCCACCTAGCTTTTCACGTCATTTGCTGGACATGATCTATGATGGGTAAAGTACAGATTTATTTTTCATTTTGATCTTTTAAATGTTATCAATTTTTAAAATCCATATCATCCTGCTGCCACTCGCATATGCATGGTCATTGTTATATTTAAAGATTATACTTCCAACATAATACTAATGGGACAAAATTCAGCTTGAGATAATTTTTTCCCCAAAATGAGTTAAAATAGTTTTAAAGAAAGAAAATTGATCATATAAACATTTTTCTTCCACTTTATTATGTAAAGGACTAGAGAAACAAGGAAAAGTCACTATGGGCCAGGTTTTTCACAAGTATTCAGGAAGCTAAAGAAGCACATAGGCATTTTTGATAATCCTGCTAGGTGCCCAATTGAACTAGATCTACAAAAGTGCTTTGTCACCTAAGTCCCATTTTAGGAACCACTGTAATCCACAGAATCCTGCTCAGATGCTGCCCCACACTGTAGACACCTAACCTCACTCTGAATATGTTTTTGCAGGTAACATTCCAAAAACACCTAGAGTATGGACACTGTTGCCTCACTTTAGATATCCATGTGTTGACCTTCCACTTAAGCCCCAATATGCTCCACAAACTGGGAGAAGATAGGTATTCCACCTAACTTGCATGTGGGGCCTTACTCAGAGGCTGCTCAATTCCACACAAGACAGCAGGGATAGAGAGGGAAGGACTTCCCTTTAACTCAGTGGCTAGAGTCTTCACTTGGAATGCAAGAAGGGATTTGAGCATGGATCTGCTACCTTGCAAGCAAGTGCTCACACCACTGGGCTACAGGATATTCTGACATGGGGATTCCTCAATTTCTCCTGTTGAAATAACTTAATTAAAGTTGAACAATTGATTGTTAAATGGGCTAGGGACAAAAACTAACTGTACAGCCCAATGATAAGGACACTCATCTGGTTAATAGCAAATTCCTGTTCAATTCCCTTCTCAGTGGGGACTTGAACTAGTGGTCTCCAGGTAAGTGGGCTAACCACTGGACTAGAAGTTATAAGCGAACCTTTGCTGCTTGCTAGTTTGTGTAGAGTGAGACCAGGGCTGTACTACAGAGGAAGGTCAGTTAAGGTAGGCATTTCTAGCTATGTAAACAACATAGGTAAGTTGACATACCTTAAGCTGAACTTTGGCGCCATTCCCACAGTGGAAGGTCAATGGGAAAAATGACTCTCATTGAGGTGTCGGGAGGAGGTTCGGAGAGCAGGCTTTGGCCAAGTGGCACTTTCCTCAGGTGGCAGCGGTTTAACAGGGCTAAGGCAGGCCTCCTGCCTGCCTTGGCTCTATGCTGCTCCCAGTAGCAGCTGTCAGTCTGGACCCTAGGGCTACGTCTACACTGGCAGCTTCTTGCGCAAGAACTCTTTTGCGGAAGAGTTCTTGGGCAAAAACTCTTCCAGAAGAGAGCGTCTACACTGGTATGTGCCTTTGCGCAAGAGCATCCATGCCAGTGCAGACGCTCTCTTGCACAAGAAAGCTCTGATGGCCATTTTAACCATAGGGCTTTCTTGCGCAAGAAATTCATGTTGTCTGCCTCCACTGGCCTCTTGCGCAAGAACAGTTATGCAAGAGGGCTTATTCCTGAGTGGGAGCGTCAGAGTTCTTGTGCAAGAAGCCCTGATTTTATACAGTAGAACGTCAGTTCACTTGCGCAAGAACACACGGCCAGTATAGACAGGCAGCAAGTTTTTGCGCAAGAGCAGCCGTAAAACTGTGTGCTGCCTCCATCCTCAGACACTACCCCCGCAGGATCCAGTGACCGCAGATTCTGGCCAAGGAGAGCTGTAGAGCTGGTGATGGGGGGCAGATGCAGCACATGGAGCTTCCCTGATCTGCCTCTCTGCCTAGGGGCTGCAGGATGTGCTGGCAAACTGGTGGTTGCGGCTCCAGCCCCACAAAGATGTGCCAAGGCTCAGGGCTTCTGGCATGCAGCGCAGAGACTTGCCACAGGCTGGTTGAAATAAAAAGCAGACCAGACCTGGTCTGCATGTTCCCCAATCCTGCTTTACCGCACCTTACATTCCAGACTTGTTTGTTGTCTTATCCATTGTAAAAGGTTACCTGGATGTTGCACTTTATCTCAGTTGGTACGAACATTGTTTTCAGACTGTTAATCCATTTAAATTCCTAATTTTGTCTGCCAATAAATGAGACCTCACCTCTCTCCACTCACTTATGTCAAGCCAGGCTTATGGTGCTAAGATGCCTATATCCTGTTACTTGTCTATATCTTCATGTGCCTAACTCCCTTTGAAAACATGGCTCTGAGATCTTGATTAACTTGACAGCAGTAGTCCAACAGTCTATGCTCTTAGGGGATCATGCAGTTACAAGGAAGCAGCTGAGAAGTTATGATTAGCTGCAGATTCCGAACAATCCCTGGGTTATCTCCACTAGCAGGTTATGGAGTCCCCACTAGTCTAAATTCTGGAAAAAGGTATTTGAATAAATGACTTGTACCTGCAACACTCTTCACCTCTGACAACCAGGCCATTTTTACCTCTGTGTTTTATTTATGGCTGCAGGCAACTAGCTTAGGCACTCAAGATTGAATTAGTCTGTACTGACATCTCCTATTGTCTATAGTTCTTATTTTTTCAAGAAGACTATTTGATCTTAGCCTTCCATAGTTATATTAAAAATCTCTTTTATTGATGGCAGCAACTGGGTGCGTTCAGAATTTGCATCTGTACTGAGTTTACTGAGTTCCCGGGAACATCACTGTCTAGGCATTTCACCTGCTCATGTAATAGCCACTGTGCTGAGATACTGGTACCAAGACTCTCCTCCCGGGGAGATTGTATCAATGGGAATACTCAGTGAAGGTAAGTTTCTATTTATAGTTCACACGCACTCTGAAGGTTTCTCTCTACTTCAGTGAGTGTAATAGTAATATTTTTACTCAGACCTTTAACTATTTAAAATTAAATCATTATACTCTGAGCTAACAACTTATTTTTTAAACACAAAAACTTCCAAATCTAAGAAATTATGCCACCAAGGATCTGGAATGTGGTATTCTTGTGGTTATTTCATTTCCTGTCCCTCTATTTTAACCCACTAATCAACTGATTTTATATAGTCACTGCTTTATCCTTTACCTGTGATTATAGGCCCAAATACATGTAGAAACATTTTCGTAAGTATCATTTAAGGCACAAATGGCAATAAGGAATTTTGCATATCTAGTGGAAGGTACACAATGATTTTGTGGATTCCTAATTAAAATGTGCAGGGAGTTCAGTGTTCTTTGTATTGTAAACAGAGAGACAGCAATTGGTCTGTTTTAGGGTTTTACACTGCTACTCACCACTACAAAATGTGAGTGCATTACTATGTGTTTTCATCAGAAAGAAACATGTTTTGTGGGAATTTTTTTCTTTAGGGCAGTTTTGCACCCCTGAGGGGATTTTCTTCTCCATGCCTGTGAGGTTCCAGGATGGTGGTTGGGAGGTCATTACAGAAACAGAAATTAATGAAGAAACTCAGGAAACTCTGAAGTATTTAACCCATGATCTGATACAGGTGATGTCACTTGCCATTTAATATTATTTCCATTTGATCATCTATGGGTTTGTCACAAGGTGCTCTACTCACTGCTTGGCTTTGCCTTTTCCTGGCTGTTCTGGGGATTATCTCTGCCAGGCTAATGTCCCTTCCTGCCGTTGGGAAGACAATGGAACAAGAGCAGTGTGTCCAAGGGAAGACTGGGCAGTGAAAGCTACAGATCAGAGCATCCGCGCAGTTAATCTCGCGGGAATGCAGGGGACAGCAGGTAAACTCACGGAATCACAGAAGTGGAAGAGACCTCAGAAGGTCATTGAGTCCAGGCCCCTGCCCTAGGCAGGACCAATCCTAACTAAATCAACCCAGCCAGGGCTTTGTCAAGCTGAGACTTAAAAATCTCTAGGGATGGAGACTCCACTACTTCCCTAGGTAACCCATTCCAGTGCTTCACCACCCTCCTAGTGAAATAGTTTTTCCTAATATCCAACCTGGACCTCTCCCACCACAGCTTGAGACCATTGCTCCTTGTTCTGCCATCTATCACTACTGTGAACAGCCTTTCTCCAGCCTCTTTGGAACCTCCCTTCAAGAAGTTGAAGGTTGCTATCAGATCCCTCCTCACTCTTCTTTTCTGTAGACTACATAGACCCAACTTCCTCAACGTCTCCTCATAAGTCATATGCTCCAGTCCCCTCATCATTTTGGTTGCCCATCCGCTGGAACCTCTCCAACGCATCCACATCCTTCCTGTAATTGGGGGCCCAGAACTGGACACAATACTCCAGATGTGGACTCACCAGAGCCGAATAAAGAGGAATAATCACATCTCTGGATCGACTGGCAATGCTCCTCTTAATGCACCTAATATGCCATTACCCTTCTTGGCTGCATAGGCACACTGTTGACTCATGTCCAACCTCTCATCCACTGCAATCCCCAGGTCCTTTTCTACAGAACTGCTACTTAGCCAGTTGGTCTCCAGCCAGTAACAATGTTTGGGATTCTTCCGTCCCAAGTGCAGGATTCTACACTTGCAGGGGCATAGTTTTCTTGTGGCCCAATCCTCCAATTTGTCAAATCACTCTGGACTCTATCCCTGCCCTCCAGTGTATCTACCTCTCCCCCTTGCTTAGTGTCATCTGCAAGCTTGATGAGGGTGCAATCCACCCCCTCATACAGGGCATTAATAAAGATTTTGACCAAAACCGGTCCCAGAACCGAACCTTGGGGCACTCCACTAGAAACCAACCGCCATCCTGACAGCGAGCCGTTGATCACTACCCGCTGGGCCCGACCTTCTAGCCAGCTCTCTGTCCATCTTACCTTCCATTTATCCAATCCACATTCCTTTAACTTGCTGGCAAGAATATTGTGGGAGACCGTATCAAAAGCCTTGCTAAAGTCAAGGTGTATCACACCCACTGACTTCCCCATATCCACAGAGCCAGTTACCTCATCATAGAAGTTGATCAGATTGGTCAGGCACAACTTGCCCTTCATGAATCCATGCTGACTATCCTGATCACCTTCCCCTCTTCTAAGTGCTTCAAAATGGATTTCTTGAGAATCCCCTCCATGATTTTTCCAGGGACTGAGGTAAGACTGACCAGCCTATAGTTCCCTGGATCATTCTTCTTCCCTTTCTTAAAGATGGGCACTCCATTTGCCTTTTTCCAATCATCCGGATCTCTCCTGATCTCCATGACTTTTCAAAGATAATGGCCAAAGGCTTCTCAATGATATTTGCCTACTCCCTCAGTACTTTTGGATGTATTAAGTCCGGACCCATGGATTTATGTACGTTTAGCTCATCATCTAATAAACCATCTTGTTAGTCTTTAAAGTGCTACATAGTCCTGTATTTTGTTTTAGCTTTTCTAAATAGTTCCTGAAGTTCCACTCAGTCGCTCTCAATCTGCAACTCCTCTTTTGCTCCAGGAGCTGCATCTTTCTCTTCATGATTCAATCCTCTAGTCAGGTCACTGAGTGGTTCCCCCTTCTGGGCTCTCAAAGTCTTTTCATATCCGTGGTCTCAAGCAGTTCGCCAGTGGCTAGTAGGGGAACCCAGGCATGCCCTCTACTTTGAGTTTTAGTCTATGGCCCTATCTCTAACAATGGCAGCCTGTCCACTCCCCGCCTATGTTGCTGTTCCCAGACTCTTTCCTACAGTTTCCTACTTCTCAGCTCTTTCTTCTGGCTCCCTTCCTCGCTGGATTGACTAGCCCCAACACCATTCTGTCAGGGAGTAACGGTAGGCTTCATGGCACTATAGTCTCGAACACACCTGCTAGCTCCCAGGGAGTGGCAATAACTACTCCCCTGCAGTTCCTTTCTCTTGTCAGTGTCCTGGCATTATCCTAGGCCCCCTTTTCCTTCTCAGATGGATGCTGTCATCATTCAGGGGATTACTTAGGCCACCTCCTTCCTCTCAGCTGTGGCCTACCTGCTTAATTGGCCCTTTCTCGGCCTCTTTAACACCTTCCAGGCTGGTGTGGGGTGAACACCCCATCACAATTTTGGACACTGAGACCCCTCTTTCAAACTAGACTCCTACAAAATGCACATCCACAGTTGAATATACCAAAAACTCATAGTTGGATGTTTAGACTAGCATTTATTATGGATGTTAGTGTATAGTTGAGCAAACAATTAACCAATAAGCCTAGCCTTATAGGTAAATCCTATCAACAACATGCACTCCCCTCCCTTGCTACCTCTGCATCAGAGGCAGCAAGAGGTGGAGTGGGAGCCAGTGCCCATGAGGAGCTAGCTTTAAGCAGTCTCCCCATGAACACTTGATCAGCCTGCCCCCTCCCACCTACAGAGACAGCAGTGTAGGGTGGCAGGGTGTTCCCTGGGTATGGGGCCAGAGTGCACTGGCTGCCAGCCCTGTCCCCGGGGACTATTGAACAGTCGTGTAACCGCTAAAATTTCGTGTGGTTACACAACTATTCAATTACATGATAACTAACATCCCTAGTATTTATATATATAAATTGGGCAACTGAGCAACTAATTGCTTATTAGCAGGGCTTGACAAACCGCGACGAAATCTACTCACCAGACCCGCACTGCGCATGCGCCAAACCCGCATTGTGCATGCGCGCACCGCCGGTAAACGGGGCAACCGGCTGAAATCTACTCGCCACGGGCAAGTAGATTCACTGATTTGTCGAGCCCTGCTTATTAGCACATACTAATAATAGTTAACAAGAGATTTTGCACCCACAAGTTTGTGTGTTTTATATAGTGCAGGACAGAAAATTATGCCTTAATTTTCTAGTTACATTCTGAGTGGCTGATTGGACCATTTTATTTTGGTTGTACCATATTTATGATAGTACCATGGCATATTGACTGTTCACTGATATGACTGTGCTGTGCCGTATGTATAAGTACTGGAGACTAGGATTTTTCAAAACTTAAAATTTCTCATAAAACACAAAATAAGGTAACAGCAATTTCTTTTCAGTGTGTCATTCAATGTGAGTTGGAAAATGTTATTCATATTGAATATAAGAGAAGGATCAATCTCAAATACTTCACCTTAGTACCATTCAGATTTTTATTCTCTTTAGTCATGTTAATAGTATGCAGAGGAATCTTTATCAAAACATTTTAAATGTGTGTTATGAATTGTAACTGTTATAAACAGTATATAATAATAAAGCTGTCTTTCTCATGCAGGAAAAAAAAGTTGCACTAGGGGAAATATCGGAAATGTGTCCATATAAAGGTAAAACCATGAGTAGTAAATATTGGTTTGCAGTGTCATATAACAGCTGTGTCATATACCACAAGGCATAAAATAAGATTTTAGGAGGATTTATGGTAATGGGTTTGATGACTTTTTTTTTCCTATTTCAATTGATTACAATTATGGCTTTTGGATTTCTGAAGTTGTTTTAAGTGTTGGCATTAAGGGTCCAGATTATACTGTCCTGCTGTAATCTCGTAGCCCTTAGATAATGCAAGACTGGATGGTGGCAATTATGTTTTGGTTTGTTAGCATTTAGACTGTAAATATTACTTGAGTTGGGATGAAGGCTTAATATCTTGTCATTGATTAATATTGAACCTTGAACCGTTTCCCTTGTTGAAATAGCTAACTGGAAAATACTTCTGCTGTATGTCCCAGTTAAATGTTTGAAGCCATTCTGGTACATCATGGGCTCTTAGCCTCTTCGTTGACTACCTGGCATTAAAAAAAAGAGAACACTTCAGAGGCAGAAAGTAGTGTTGTAATTATGAATTTGAATATTTTCATTTGGCTGTTTGTTACAGAAACTGCATTCATTGACTTTGATATGCTAGCGCTTCTTGAAGAGGAAAATGCACCTCCAGACGGTAGGCTAATAAATAGCCCAAATTATTCCAGGGAAGTTCCAATACATCTGGTCACTTTCTCAGGAGGTCCTAATTACAGGAAAGGAGAGCCCCTCAAAAAGCCCCACTGCTTTTTCAGGTCATATCAACTCTCTTTTCTCCATTAACTTTTATTCTTTCCCATCCACTCTGTACATGCACATACTGGGAAAAAGGAAGAGGAATGGTATCTCAGCAGTTCCAAACCTCCAGTGAGCTCCCGAGCATTTTGGTCTTTCATAATCCACAGCCCCAGTGACGGATTCTTCATATTCAGGGTTCAGTGATCTGCACTGGCTACATCCCTGTGCTTTCAGAGATAGACTTCAAGGCTACATCTACACTGCGGAGCTAGCTATTCTGTGTCTTTTGAGAATGCTCATTATTTCGAAATATAACAGGCTCACTATTCTGACGTCCCTGTAAACCTCGTTCCACAAGCAGAATGGGATTTTTTGGAATAGCGATTTATTTAAAAATAAGTGCTGTGTAGACAGCGACAAATTTTGAAATTGTCTCAAAATAAACTATGCAATTTGCGTAGCTCAAATTGTGTAACTTATTTCGAGCTACGGGTGCAATGTAGCAAGTCAGTGCAGAACTCTTCCTACTTAACTGTCACCTGGCTCCCTGTGCTGTGCTTTTGCAAAACTGCCTCATCCATTGGGTTAAGAGAGGCTACACTGGCATCTCAGCAGAGGAGCAACTCCGCTAAAAGCATTCTAGCCAGTGGTAACCTAAATACACAATTGGTTAAGACCACTGTAAGTCAAGTTTCCCTATGGCTTTGGAAGTCTTAGAATTAAATCTTCATAGCATCATATTATTAGATATAGTAGCCCAATGTCTGTGACTTTGTAACGCTGAAACGCTGGCTGTTCCCTCTGGGCATCATTGTTGCCTCCCACCGTGGCGCTCGACTGACTTCTGCGCCGCTCAGCTGGGCCACCGCGCGGGAGCAAGCAACTCAAGCGGCCGTTTGGGGTCCGCACTCCCCAGGCAGCATGGGGCAGTAGGAGGAGAAGAGAGAGAGAGGCCACTTGTGCTGCTTGCTCCTGCGTGGCAGTCCGGCTGAGCGGTGCAGAAGTCAGCCGAGCGTCATGGCAGGAGGTGAAGGGGGACGGGGAGGTGACATACACATCCAGTGGGCAGGGCCTCAATAAGCGTGCATCCCCAATGGAGAGACACAGAGCGGAGAGAGAATGAGAGGCAGGAGGAGGAGGAGAAGAGAAAGGGAGAATGAGAGGCAGCGGGGGAGAAGAGAGAGACGGGGAGAGAGGCAGAAGGCGGAGGAGAGCTGAGAGAGAGGGGGGAAGGCAGGAGGAGGAGGAGAGAGAGACGGAGCGAGAAACCGGAGGCTCAGGAGATAAGACCGACATGGAGGAGAGACCTGAAAATCCCATCTTATGGCGGGCTAATTGGCTAGTTATTAGATAATAGCAAAGCATCAAAATGACTTTCCTGTCTCATTGTGTATTTAAATATGAGGTGTGTGTTTTAAAATACAGAATATTCTTTTATTTTGTCTGTTACAGACTTGGAAACCTTATCCAGTGGCTTACTTCAGCCAAAGGCCCCAGAAGGAGAAAAAGTCCAAACAACTGCAGATGGTAAACTATATGTTCCAGAATATCCTAACTTCTACAAAAATTTGATAACATCTGAAGTTGGAGCTCTTTAATGCAGAAGCAGGTTGAAAAACAAAAGGAATGCAACTGTGACATTCCCAAACAAGAGGGTAAAGCTTCTGGTGTGAAATACTGGTCCCACTAAAGTCAGTTTCACCTTTTATGTTTAATGGTTTGAAGCCAAGTAGGCCAATTATTTAAAAAAAACTTCCTTTTTTTATCCAAAATATTCACATTCAGGTTATACTGAACAATGGTATTGACAAATATAAAAAGAAATGTTTCCAGCCCCAAGCTGCTTCCTCCTCAGGAGGTCACAGATATAATAAATGACAATTTCTTCGTAAGGATATATGTAAACAAGAAGGTATAATTAAGGCTGAACTTTCTTTGTCTTTTCTCTCTCAAAGTTTTATGCACCCAATTTAACGGGAGTTTGTGTGTGTAAAATGCATACATAAGACACACTTACAGATCACTAAATAGATACAATAATCCTTTCCTGAAAACAATGAAAAAAATATGTATGAAACCAATTTCTAATATCTGTGGGTCCTGAGAAATTGTTCCATAAGATGGTCATTCCAATCCCAATGCAAATTGTTAACTAAAGTTGTCTTTTCGCTTTGTAATTTAACATTCATCTCTCTATGTTAAAGTTTTTCCTGCAGGATGACAGAGTGATGTTACAGTGTCACTCTATGTCACACACACACCCCCAGCATCAACAGACTCTCCAAAAGGGGAAGAGGTGTCTAGGGCTCAGTGTTCTCCTCTCCCACCCTTGGGTGTTCTTTGGGCTCCCCGCTGGCCCCCTGGCTCCCCTAAAGGAGGACCAGGGGTGGCAGCAGCGGTTCCTTGCTGTGCTGGGGGTCCTAACACTCCAGGACCTGGTGGGGAACTGTCATCTCCAGCTGCTCGGGTCAAGGGTGAGCAAGGAGGTGGTGGGATCCAGCCTGGAACCCTCCCTCCCCAACCCCCCGCAAAATTAGCACCAGCACTGTCTTACTGCAGAGGAATGGGGAGAGGAGAAAACCCCGAGGCTCCTCACCGGAGGCGGCTTGCTGAGAAGTGCGTTCTCTGCTGTGGGGAGGGCCAGGGGCCCTCCTCTGCAAGCCACCTCCAGCTGGTGCTGGCATGCTAATCTTGTGGGTGGTTGGGGGAGGGGAGGGTTCCAGGCTGAGCCGCCAGGAATGCAATGGCCCCAGCGCATCTGGACCGAGTTGCTGGAGGCAGCAGTTCCCCTCTGGGTCCCAGAGTGTTGGAACCCCCCACACAGCAAGGAGCCACTGCTGCTGCCACCACCACTGCTGCTTCCACCACAACCCCCTCGCTTAGCCCCTATCCTCCTCCAATGGCTGGAATGGGGCCGAGAAGCCAGGAGGTGGACCGGGGTTGACTGTGGCTTGTGGGGAGGAAATGGGGGGGCTGAGAGGCCAGGAAGGAGGGGGGGGGGGACAGGGAGGAGGCAACGGCTGTCTGTGACCAGGCAGGATGTGGGGAGCCAGCAGGCCAGAAGGAGGCCAGGGCTGGCTGTGACTTGGGAGTGGGCCAGGGAGAGAATGGGGGGCTGAGAGGCCAGCAAGGAGGAAGGGGGAGGCCGTGGCTGGGACAGAACAGGGGACCAAGAGGCCAGGGAGGGGGATGGGGGAGCGGGAGAGAGGCCAGGACCAGTCTGTGACTGGAGGGGGTGCCCCAGAGCCTGGGTCAGGATGAGGGGCCGAGAGTCCAGAGCTGTGGCCAAGAGGGGGCGGAGTGTGAACATTTGAGAAGGCTTGAGAAGTTTCTAGGGGGAAGCAGGCCCCCAGCCCCACCCACAGCCCCATCCCCTCCACTGAGACTTCACCCCAAGCATGTGGAGGGGAGGAGGAGGAGCAGTGCACTGAGCATGCGTGCGCCTCCCCCCCCCCCCACACCAGAGGGAGAGGAAGAGCACGTGCTCCAGCATCCCTGGAGGAGCGGGGAAGGCCCTAATCCCCCCTCCTGCCCCTGGGAGCAGCGGGGAGGGAAGAGGCCTCACACCCTGAGCCTCCCCACCCCTGGGAGCAGCGGGGAGGGAAGAGGCCCCATGGCCCAAGCCAGCCCAAGAGTCTCTGTCCCTGGGAACAGCGTTGAGGGAGGAGGCCACATGTATGTCTACCCTCACAATGGGACGAACAGTGCTAGTAGATATAATGGGAAACATGGGACTACACGATCTTAACTCGTCATACTCACAGAAATCTCCATCTCTCCTTGAGTTCCTCCCTGCTACGCAGGACAGCAGTGTCTTCCTTGTGTGAAATCTGACTAAAGAGAAGTAGCTTGTTCCATCATATGTAGATGAAAACAAAATGAATGTTGCTTCTAATGCTGCATCCCATTAGGGTGTGAATCGAAGTCCAATGGGAGTCTTTTCCTTGATTTCAGTGGACTGTTTTGGGCCTTTAATGAAGAGAGAGGGGCTTATTAAGCAAAAATTACATGCACTGTTTAATATTGATGTGGCCAGGGGGACTCCTTACTAAAATGCTAAAAGACTTCTAATGCCGCCTTCTCCTCCTCCAGCACTTTTAGATAAAAAACAAATTAGAGAAAGGGGAACATGGAAAATGCGAATTAACTCACTTGTGAATGTGAAACATTTCATCCTCTAATTGTGTTTACTGTAGAAGCTGCAGCTTCTTCCAGTGACTTATATCCTATAAAGAGAAAAATTTCAAAGTCCTACAAAGGATCTACCAAGAGGCTTAATTAAAAATGATCTTTTATTTGTTCATGGTCAAAAGAATGTCACAATTTACTCTTATTGCAGGCACTTATGCACCAGATACTTTCTGTCTCTTCAGATACTACTTACCTTATGTACAGCACAATGCATAGACTGTGAACTTGGTTTTCCAGTTAATAAATACATGGTTTAAATCCACAGATACCTAGAGTCAACTCTGGAGTTCCTTACACACAGATTTATAAGCTTCTACATATAAAACAGTGTGGTTCAGTTGCTAAAAATTAAATTAAGAGTTCTACTCTTGCCTAAGAGGGGGCAGTCTAGACATTAGTCTAAGTGTAAAGAAGCTCTCAGTTGCATATGTGCTGATCAGTGTTGCTGGAGGAGTGTTGGTGTAGTGTCCTAGAAGCCTTTTAAATTCAAAAAAAAATGGTGAACAAAGAAAGAGAGTAATTCAAATCCAGACATGAATGTAGTAAAGGTGGGGCATTTTAATCCTTTCATTTTGTTTTATTACAGAAACTGAAGCTCCACCCAATGGGTTACTTCAGTCAGAGATACTGGAAGAAGAAAAAGTTCAAGTACCCATAGATGGTAAGCCAAGATACTTAAATATAATTTTTTATTATTCATGTTGCTGCCCTACAAACCAGCGGGCATAATAGGCATTAACTAACTAGCTAACTAATGTTTAAATTGTAGCAAATCCTCAACTTTCCAAAAACAAAACAATGGAAAATTATTTTGTAGATAAACAGAATAGCAAGATACCAGTCCTAAATAGTTTCTGCAATCACTGACAAAGTTGGATTAATTTAAAACAGAATATAAAGAATTATCCATTCAGTTAATGGAAAATATAGTATAAAAATCAAAGCAGGTATTATTAGCTTCTCAGTGGGGATTGCTGGTTGCTGAGCACCTTTGAAAGTCTGGCCACATCATTTAAGTGTTGATATGGAAGATGAGCTGTTGGAAAACTTGGTCAATGCAGTTTACTTGTTCCTTAAGGGAATCACAGGTGTGATTCCCCGCTTGTGTAGACACACACATGTTCAGTACTATGGTAGACATTTCCAGAGAGACTTCTGGATCCTATAGACCAGAGGAGGGGAACCACAGGCCTGGGGGCCAGATGCAGCCCCCGGCTGGCCTGGATCCAGCCCCTGAGGCTCAGTGCCCCCCCTTGGATTGAGGAGCCCAGCTGGCACTCCAGCCCCTTGACTGTCTTACCGTGCAGCTGGAGCACACAAAATCTAGTAGGTTGGGCTCTCCTAGGTTCTGGTGTTTGAGAGGAATGTGGGGAGTATCTTTCATCTTCTCAGTTGGGGGCCACATCAGTGAGGAGTGTTTTTTTTTCTTCTCGCTTGTGTGCAGGACCCAACTCATTTTTCTGTGGGTCAGTGGTCCCCAATGCCAGAAAGGTTCCCCATCTCTGCTATAGACCATCAGAAAACTGAGAACAAAATAGGTAAAAGCTTCAAATGAGAATGTGTTTTGTAAGCCTAAAATATTTTAAACTTCTTTTTACAGATGCTGAAACTTCATCCGAGGGCTTAAATCAATCAGAGACCAGTCTGAGTATGGCAGAAAACAAAAACCCTTAAATTATTTCTGATCAAGTAAACTACAACAAGGGATATAGTGCTTGCATCCTATTTTGTATTCTGAAAGTGACTTATTCATGGCTTTGAATCTTCACAGGTTTTCTTTTGTGGGAGTTACAAAAGAATGTACAGGGAACTAACACTATTTAAAACACTCACATTCCACATTAATTGTCTCTATAGAGCTGAAAAGTTACACACAAATTGAGTAAATTAAAATGTTACAATGGTGATGGTTTGTTGTTTTTTGGAGGGCGTTTGTGTATATATGTGTTTAAGATTTGTGTTAGAGAAGTTAAGATACCATAGTAAAGAAAAGCACCTTAGCTGTACACTGACTGCATTGTTGTGCTTTTTTTTTTTTTAGCTCATAGCTTTTAAACTCACTGGGTACATCTAAACTACATGGCTCCGTCGACGGAGCCATGTAGATTTGTTTGTTTGGCAAAGTCAAATGAAGCCGCGATTTAAATGATCGCGGCTTCATTTACGTTTACATGGCTGCCGCGCTGAGCCGACAAACAGCTGATCAGCTGTTTGTCGGCTCAGCGCGGCAGCCATGTAAACGTAAATGAAGCCGCGATCATTTAAATCGCGGCTTCATTTGACTTTGCCAAACAAACAAATCTACATGGCTCCGTCGACGGAGCCATGTAGATTTGTTTGTTTGGCAAAGTCAAATGAAGCCGCGATTTAAATGATCGCGGCTTCATTTACGTTTACATGGCTGCCGCGCTGAGCCGACAAACAGCTGATCAGCTGTTTGTCGGCTCAGCGCGGCAGCCATGTAAATTTAAATGAAGCCGCGATCAAGAGGATTAAGAATTCCTCTTAAAATCTTTTCCGAAAGATCCCGTCTAGACTGGCGCTTTTCTCCGGCAAAACCCCGAGCCGGAAAAAAGCAGCAGCCATGTTCATGCAAATGCCGCAGGGGATATTTAAATCCCCTGCGGCATTTGCAATTCTGACTGGTCTCATTAGCATCCCTTTTCCGGAAAAGGGTGCCAATGTAGACACAGCCCAAGAGTGGTGAACTCTTTGAGATGGTGGATCATCCTCACCAGCATGTTAGTAGGTGCACACTTTCATCCTATACCTCTCTTCCTGTCCTCTCACTCTCCCCTCCGCCTTCCAACTGTGGAGGCTTTTAAAGGCCTTCAGCAAGCCAGCAGTGGAGTCAGCTGGCCCCAATTTGCTTGAGCCAGCCCCCTCACAGCTGCTTCTAATTGTCCTGCCACCCTCTGCTCCTATTTAGCAGGTCTTTCCCCCCTGTTTGGGCTGCCTTTCCCTCACTCTGCAGGAGCCCTCTGGCCTGACCATGCCACACATCGTACATACCTGGCAAGGACAACATCACTGCCGATGTGCTCAGCAGGTATTTTGTTACAAACCATGAGTGGGAACTACATTACCAGGTACTACACGATGTCTTCTGCCTCTGAGGGTTCCTGGGTATAGACCTATTCGCCACACACCAGAATGCAAAATGCTGGTACTACTGTTCCAGAGCAGGCATTGGTCTGGGCCCCTGTGGGATGCATTTCTTCTCGGCTGGAGCACTCACCTGCTTTATGCCTTTCCCCCTTCTCCCATGATACCAAGTCTTCTAAAAGATCTCCAGGGACAATGCAATGGTAATTCTCATAGCTCCCTTTTGGCTGCATCAGACATGGCTCCCTTATCTTTTTCGCATATTGCCTCACCCACCCTACCACCTACCCAGACGCCACGACCTGTTGACCCAGAACCAAGGAACACTCATGCACCCTCAACCCAACCACCTTCGCCTCACAGTGTGGTTCCTAGTTGGTTCCAAGACTCAGAAATTATTTGTTCCCAGGATGTTAGGTTCTGCTCCAGAGTAGAAGGCCCACCACTTGGACTATTTACCTGCACAAGTGGTGTAGGTTTCATTCCTGGTGCACTGATAACAGTTTAGACCCGACCTCGGCCCCCATCCATTGCATTCTTGACTACATCCTACTTTTAAAGCATTCTGGCCTGGCGCTGGCTTCTCTCAAGGTTCACCTTGCTGCGATCACTGCCTTTCAACAGCCAATAGACAGGTATTCTGTATCTGCTCACCCAATGTGCTGGAGGTTCATGAAAGAGATGGCAAATCTCCCCATCCCCAGTGGGTTCTGCAGTCTCACGGTGCTTCTTTTGAAATTGGTAAACCTTAAATTACGAGGAAGAACACCTTTTTTGAAAGAGCTCTTTCGAAAAAAGGTGTGTGGGGACGCAGGGGAGGCAGTTTTTTAAAAAAAAAAAAAAAGCCTGCAGCCTGCGGTAGAAGTAGGATTTCCTAAATACGCAGGCATCATGTGCCGACCCAACCACGCAACACAAATACCTGTAAACTGTCCCCAGTGGTCAACCAGGGCCTGCAGCACTACAGAGACGTAGCCCTTCTTGTTGATATACTGGGCCTCTTGATGGGGCAGTGCACGGATTGGTATGTGTGTCCCATCGATGGCTCCTTTACAGCTCAGGAATCCAAGGGCAGCAAAGCTATTCACGATGGTGTCCAGGTCTTCGAGGTGGACGATCCTGCGCATCAGCTCTGAGTTGATGGCCCTCACCACCTGCAGAAGGAGATGTATAGAAACACACAAAACAGGGAATTAGAGAGGGGTGCCTGAGCCCCTGGGAGGTGCCCGCCACCTTCCCCTCCCCCCCAGAGACCCCAGGAGCCACACACCCACCAGCCAGCCCCCCAGCAGCAGGGCTGGGTGAGGCCAGGAGGCCCCCCACATCCACTCCCACTCCACCCCCTACTCTCCCTACCCTTTCCTGACAGTACTCCTTTTCCAGCTCCTCCTCCCACCGCAGGGATGTCCCCCGAGAGTGCCTGACCTCCATCAAGATGGCCCCAGCGG